CCAGGATGAACGACATACCGACACTTACTAGTCTCTATAGCAAAAAAAGATGCTCTGAAGCCGCGATTATACATGATAATAAAAACATTCATCTTCTTCCCGCTCGCGCGCTTCGAGCCGAATAAGTGATAAAATTAGCGCGCGAGCGCGCGCTTATTTAGCGCACTAGGTCACAAAGGCAAGCCTGTCAACAACGTGGAGAATGTCTAGACAAGAGTAGAATTGCAACACTGGAATACTCCAATTCCAGAAAAAACGCTTAGTTGCATATGGAAGTGAGGCTTCATAGCCCTCGCCGCAAATTTAAAAGAACTAACATGGCGGACGATCAAGTCGATCTTACTTACATTCCTGGTCTTAGCTTTAGTAAAGAAGAGATAGAAAAATTAACCCTTGCTCAGCTAAGGTTTTGGCTAAAATGCCTCAGTATCAATCAAAATGGCAGTAAGATGCAACTGTTGCAAAGGTAGGTCGCACAATCGATCAGCTATTTACATAGCGATTTAGACACATGTTTTCATACAAAATTTGCTTTCTCAGGGTCAAGAACCTGCAAGGAATGAAAAATATAAAACTATTATGACCCTGAACCAGAGAGGAGCTTCACCAAAACAAAGTTAGCGAGATAATGAAGAACTGAGGGAAAATGGGGAAACTGATGCAGCAAACCGCTTCAAGAACTTTCCCACCATTGATTCAGCATTTGGTGATGATTTTACCGTCCTTCTCACATTTAGAAGATCTAAAGAATTGTGGAAAGAACACCAGGAAGTCTGCTGATACCGATGCAAAGTTTGCAAGTCGTAAAGGGCTCAGAATGCTCCCATTTTTATGGATGATGTTATTTACCTTAGTGCGCTTTGCCGGGCCTCCTATAGGAAATCTAATAAATATATCATATATAACTTAGCTTACCCCTCAGCTCAGCAGCTCAGAGATGGCCTATGTAGGTATAGGTATACTGGGTATAGTTTTAACACCACAAACAATCAGATTTGTATCAGAACCATATGCAACTTCTCCAACTGTTGTGTGAAGTAACTTGATACTATCTGAATCAGGGATCATTTTCGGAAATCGAACAGCAGGATTTACTTTTTGAAAATTTTGTTTCAATCTTTCAACTGATTCTACTGAGGTCTTACTTACGCGATTTTGATGGTCTTGGATCGAACAGCTTGGGAAAGGCACCCTTCTTCGGTGGATGTCTGAGGAATGGCGTGGTTTAAAATGTTTTTCTGTCATGATTGGCTTATGTTTTCCAGTCCTCTTTCCTGGTATTCCTAATTGTCTAGGTTTGGAGGTACAGCTACGGTTATCAGTACGTTGAAAGTTCTTCTTTCACATGGCAGCAACAACCACTTTTTCCGGCTGGGCATATTTTGTCACACTCAGCAGCTAGAATTTTGGGTTTGCTGTTCCTCTGACTACCATGTTGACTTTGTTTCAGACAGATTTCCTATAGGAGGCCCAGCATAGCAAAGCACTCTAAGGTAAATAACATCATCCTTGGAATTTGGACTCGCACACACTTGGGAGTTCGTGAGCAAATGAGAGTATTCTGAGCCCTTTAGGACTTGCAAACTCGGTAATGGCATCAGCAGATTTCCTGATGTTCTTTCCAAAGTTCTTTAGGTGTTCTAATGTATCAGTCGGAACGAACGTGGGAAAGACGGTAAAATCGTCACCAACTGCTGAATCAACGGTGGGAAAGTTCGGAAAGTGGTTTGCTGCATCACTCGCGGTTTCCCCATTTTTCCTCAGTTCTTAATCTATCTCGCTAACTTTGCTTTAGGAACCGGTCATTATTTATCGGGGGGGGGGGGGGGGGGGGGGGTTTTGGAAAAAAAAAAGGGGAAATTTAGCCGCCCCCCCTTTGGGTTTTCTTTACTTGAAAAATCCCCCCCAAAAAAATTTTTTTGATTTTCTGGCTCCCCCCCCCCTGTTCAACTTGTTTTTTTTGGGAATTTTGTGGTTCTTCCCCTCTCGTTTTTTCAAAATTTTTCGATATTACCCTGGTGGCGAGCGAGGAGATGATGTTTACGCCGTCCGCCCGGCTTCTACTCTTTGTCCCCTCCTTATAAGTTAGACTTGCTTATGTCAATACCGCCACCGTTTCTGCTGGGGGGGGGGGGGGGGGGGGGGGGCGTGGGATTTGGAACTAAACAAGGTGAAATTTAGCCGACCCCCCTTTGAGTGTTACTTCACTGACATAATCCCTCCTAATAACTTTTGATGACTTTCGCGATCCCCCCCACATGTCTGACATGTCTTCATTTGGAAATTTGAGTGGTCCTCCCTCTCGATTCTTCCAAAGTTTTCAGCGATACCTCCCCTAAAATCCTCCCCCCCTCGACACAGGCGATAAATAATGACCGGTCCTTAGTAAAGTGAAGATCCTGTCTGGGTCAGGGTCATATATTTTTAGATTTTCATTGCTTGCAGGTTCTTGACCCTGAGAAAGCAAATTTTGTATGAAAACATGCATCTAAACCGCTTTGTAAACAGCTGATCGATTGCGCGAAGCCGGATGATGTACACCTACCTTTCCAACAGTTCCTTCTTATTACCATTTTGATTTACACAGAGACATTTCAACCAAAACTTAAGTTGAGCAAAGGTCAATTTTTCAATCCTTTCTTCAATAAAGCTAGCACCAGGAATGTCCTCTTGGGGGTAAGATCGACTTGATCGTCCGCCATGTTAGTTCTTTTTAATTTATTTGCCGAGAGGGCTATTATGCCTCACTTCTATGCCACTCCCGGTTTTTTCTGGAATCGGGGTATTTGCAACAAAAGGAAAACTAAAATTGACTCCTTGCTGTTGACTTTTGAAATTTACCGGGTGATGAGATATTTTTGCATAATAACAGTCAATCACAGGGATGATGCGATTAGTGCACTCCGGATCCTCATGACAGATTTCCTCCTAACGCTTAAAGTCGGCTTTGGCAGAGTGACGGTTCAGAACTTCTTCGGCAAATCCTTTGCTTTTCTCTGCTTCAATTCCGTGCTGGATGGCCGCTTGCTTGATTGCGTGACGCGTTTATGAACGCTTGCTTGATTGCGTGACGCGTTTATGAATTCCGCAAACGGAAATTTACTGAAATTTGCCTTGCAGAACCGTGACAGGGCTCCTGAAGGAAATTCTTATCCAAAACGGTATTATTCATGGGGCATAAAATGCTCGAATTTATACCGACCCCTTCAAATAAGCGCTCCCATTCGGATTTTGGCTAAATAAAAAATAAACACCTGCTTTAGAATAATATGAACGTAAAACTATTCCTCGCACATGTCTGTCCTCCGTTTCTGAATGTAATGCACATTTATGCTACAAGACAAATTATTCTTTTTCAGTTTTTGTTTTTATTGTTGCAGTTTCCGTATATTTGAAACTAAAGTATGCGTCAACGAGCGCCCCCATACCAGCTTGACATGAGCAGCCACGTGATTAGTCAGTGCAGACAAAACAGATTTTGCATTCACAAAGACACGCCACTCAGTACTACGAATGTTAGGAAAGGAGTCAGGCCGGCCGCGTTTAACACCCTTTCTCAAGGTAAAGGCTGAAGTTTTTGTTGTTCATGACAATCGTTTACAAGCGTTCAAAAAGTAATCCCACGTAAGACACGTTGCCATTTTTCTCGAAATATGTTCAGACATTTCACAACTTAGGAAATTTTCGTGACGGACAAGATGGCGGATTTGGCGGAGGAAGGGTTCAATAATCTGCGTTAGTGGCGGTTTTGTGGAGTTATTTGTTCTTTTAAACGATTCCTCGCCCTTACGAAGTAGAAAACCAGAGGCAGAAGCGAAAAACTGGGTGATGAGTAAAGCTGGTCCGCGATTAGTCGTCGTGAAAGATTTGAATGGTGAGATAAGCTGGTGTGCGAATTGATTTAGTGAGAAAATTATGTCGACAATATCACGAGAAAGGTTCTTGTCGAAGTGCTCAGGGGAAGTGCAAGTTCTTTCTGGCATACTTGTAAAGGATTTATCGAAGAAAACTGTCATGGTAATGCAACCGCTTGCACTCGCTGACAACGAGAAGGTTAATTGCGTTCGTTTCCAGCATTTGCGATCCTAAATTTGATTTTTTGTGCCAAAAACAATCTAAGATTGCAATCTGAACGACCCCCCTTTGCACTTGGATCGTTTAAATTGGTATCTCTATCTGGTTTCAGATCTTTGTTCCACTTATTATATGAAACTGCTTTTCGATCGCAAAAACGTGCTCTTTCAATCATTAGTAAATACGGAGGGTCAATTGAAGGTTAGTTCAGGCAAAAGACATTTTTTGCTCCGGCCTTCGTTGTTCGATTCTATGCCGCTAAAGGATTGTAGTATATTAAACAAAGTTCCACTGTTACTCTAAATCCGTGAGGAAGTGAAAACGCTTAGAGATTGTCACCGCAAAACTATACTGTCCAATGTCTGTGTGTGTTTAGACCGCGGCTTCTCAGCGCTTGAGGACTTGAGAGTTCGTAGTTGTCTTCTGAATTTCTTGAATCAAATTCCAGACAATTTTTAAGTTGACGAGACCCAGTATGAGCCACCACTAGTCAAAGAGCTAATTTTATTTTCTTTCCCTTTCTCCACGAGAAGGCGCTTAATTTAGCTGAAAGAAGTAAAAAACGATGCCTTGAAATTGACAAGAAGATCGGAGCGGCAGGCAGTTTAACTGTATGGATCAATCTTATTTCAGATTGTTGTTTCGGCTCGCACGAAAATCCAAACAACCTGGATTGTCCAAATCCAAAAAAACTTTGGCTTAAAGGAATGCAACCTTAATTGGGATTGTCTAGTAAACATCCGAACGGGACTGTCAAAAATATTGTTGCGTTGTTCTCATTGTTCCCGTTTGGAGTAATGGCCATGAGTGACTGTCGTACGGATTTGGTGGATCAGTTTTTAATTTGGTCTAAGGAAAACAGTATGATTTGTAATCCGTCGAAATGTAAAGAAATTATTTTTCGGAAGAAAGGTTTTATTCAGGATATTGCGCAAGTTAATAACATTCCACAATGCACGGAGCTGCCCATTTTAGGTGTTACGTTTCAGGCCGAATTGTAAATACAGCGAACACGTATGTGCTAAGTTGATTAAGGCAAATAAGTGTCTGTTTGTATTACGATCTTTACGGAAGGAAGGTTTCAGTCAAGGTGAAGTGAACCTACAGCTGCACTTCAGGCCTGGCTGCACCAATTTAGCGCCTTAGTTTTACCGAATTTCACTTATGGTCTGCCTGTTTTATGGCGCTGTAGACTCAGCTCAGATCTCACGGTCATACAAAACTTTCTGGATAGATGCTTTAAAAGGAAATACACATCTAAGAGAATGGACATTCGAGAACCTTTAGAAAAGGCAGATAAGAAGCTTTTCAAGATACGTTCAGTGGATCCCGATTGCCCGCTCAGTAACGTCAATCCGAAGAAGAAAGAAGCAAACTATCTACTCAGAAAAAAAAGTGCTCATCGGCCAGATATAAAGACTGATGTTTAAGAATATTTTTGTAAATAGGATAATTTTTATATACAATCTTTGATCTTCTATTATTTGTATACAGTATGTCTTGTGTATTTTTATCTTTTTATTTGTAACTTAAGATATGTCGTTTTATCTTAGGAGAATAAAGATTGATTGATTGATTGATTGATTGATCTTGAAAAGGTCTGATGCTGGTTTTAGTTTTAAGGGGCCGGGGAGGCTGAATTTATAAAGAAAAATGCGGGACCAACCTGTAAGGAAATTCAGTGATCAAGTACCGTAAATGATCGATTATAATATTACTTCAACTACGGATAAAAAACTGAAGGGAGTTATTAGTAATTGTTATTCTTATTTTTCTTCTTATTGTTGTTGTTGTACAGTTTCGCACAGGTTACCAACCTCATAAGTCATGGAGTTTGAGCGTGAACGAAAGCTGTGTGTTTCCAGTTCTTGCAGCTCTGTTCAAGACTCGCGTAAACTTTTACCCTCCAACAAGGCTGTTTTCGATTGCATTGTGAAAGAATACAGTGGCACGGTGTCCTTTGATGTCATTTCAAAACGAAAAGATTTGTTTCCTAGCGGTTGTGAGGACGTTGCTAAGTGGTTCGGAGCCAGAAAAGAAAGCTTTTTAATCAGAGAAAAGGAAGGAATCATCACCGAGGTCAGTGCCTTCTGTCGAAAGGCAAGGATTTGTTTCAAGGAGAAGTGTTTTCAGAAGGATTGTCAGTTCTTTCACGTGTGTAGGGAGTACATCGCTGGCTTCTGTAGGCGTGGTACTGGGTGCCAAAGAAATCACTGCTTTCAGTACGATCGAAATCGAAAGTTAATTTCGAAACTCAAGTTGGATGGTTTGACAGACGAACAACTCCGCAATTTGTTTCAGCTTTCATCGCCTCAAGTATGTTTGGACTATAACAATGGACGTTGCACGAACGGTTTGTCGTGCGGCCAAGTTCACATTTGCAAGGATTTTATCAAGAAGAGGTGCGACTATGAGGAAGACTGTGGTCTCCGACACGAAAGCGCGTTTGCCGAAGCTCACACCACTGCAGTACTTCAGAACTATGGCATGAGAGTCATAGGAGGCAAATTTAATTCAGTGCTTCGCACGCTTTTGGTATGCGAGAAAAAAATTTCCAGGGGTTTGAAGGACCCCAAGGGCAATATCCCTGCTAAGGGCGTGGCCACTAGAGTGAGCAAGAAAGATCAGCACATATCATCGAAAGTAGCCGTGGCTGCAAGTGCCACTGCTAAGCCGGCTGAGGTTAAAGTCTTCGAATGCCTTTGCAAAGAGTACGATTGCTGTGCCTCTTTTTCTGTGATTTCCAAACGAACAGATTTGTTCCCGTCTGAATTTAAGGATATAGAATCGTGGTTTTGTAGCAGGAAAGGAAGTTTCCTCATTACAGAAGACGATCACGGAAAGATAACCCAAGTGGACGCTTTCTCTACAAAAGCACGTTTATGTCTCAGTTACAATAACTCTTATGGGAAGTGCAATAGAGGGAACTGTTCCTACTTGCACGTCTGTAGAGAGTACATAACCGATTCCTGTAGCAACGGAGCAACATGCCCGCGAAATCATCACTTCCAAGATGAAAGAGAAAGAGCTCTATTGTCGAAGATTAAGCTTGACAAGTTAACAGATGAGCAACTTAGGAAGCTCGTTCTTTCATCTACTCCCCAAATCTGTGTAGAGTACAACCATGGTTTATGTGATCGTGCTGAGTCGTGTTCTAAAATACACATGTGTAAAGAACATTTGAAAAAGTGTTTTAGAAGGGGATATGGCTGTGACTTACTTCATGAAGAAGCCATGAACACTGAACACACCCAAGCGATCCTTGAACGTTTTCAGCTAGGACACCATAAATTAGACCTGGTAAAGAGAATTATTCTTGTTTGTGATCAGCGCGAGAAATCCGCCTGTTCAAAAGAAAAAACTACAGGTAAGTAATGTAAAATTCTGTTATCCCTACGACATCTCTCTCTATTTAGGTAATTTTCGTTTTAATACGCATTTTCCGTAGAAAAATAGTCGCTTCCAACCTAAGACGCTAAAAACGTAGTAGTCTTCAAGGTCCACAGCTAGGTACTTTAATGCTGCGGTTTTCGAAACCCGGGGCACAAGAAGCCTTACTTATTAAATTACATTGTTGAACAGTAAGTTTGAACATCATGATTTTAGCGGAAAGGGAAAATTTAGCTTTAGATATAACACAATGAAAGTGTTTAAAAGAAGGAAGCTGCCAATGAAAGACGGAGGGCTAAGACGGGTATAAAAAATTTCCACCCTGGCCGAGGGTTTAGAAAAGTTGGATTTTCCGTTACCGTTTTGATCGTGAACGTGAAGACGGAAAACCAGTCTGACAAAAAATAACAAAGTAAAGATAAAAATAAATGAATGTAAATCTTGAAATACGTTGTTATCATATATATATATATATATATATATATATATAACTACTGATACAGTACCTCAATAGTCAGTGGAAGTAATGTTAATCATGAAAATGATTAAATGAGCCATCATTTCTCTTTTTTTTTTTTACTCAAGGCATTCTGACAGGACACATTCTCTTCAACAAGCCAGAAGCACCTATTTGCACAGAGTATATTCTTGGCAAATGTAAGAATGGTTCTAAGTGTACAGGCCATCACTGCTTTTTGCCTTACCATTGGCAATATAGCGCAGATGCAGGTGAATGGAAGAGTTTTAATGAAAAAGACAACGAGAAGCTGGAAAAAGTGTATTGCGACGTGACACTCGAGAAATGTTCTGCTACAGGCATGCAAATATCACATGAAAGGTATGTTATAAGAATTATACACTGAGAATCTTGTCAAATTAATGGATTTTCACTCATTTATACTTATAATAATTATGCGAAGTTAGTAGACATACTTCAGCCCAAAACTAATGTATGAGAAAAGATAAAGGAGTATGTTCAAATGCAAGGGCTAAAGACAAATGAACCAACAACAACAACAACAATAAGCTTTATTTGCGTTACTATAACAAAGTATTACAGTATTGCAAAAGCTACTTGAATTTAATTATTGATTTCTTTTTAAATTAATTATTTAAAATAACTTTAAATATAATAATCATTGCTTATTTTCAACCATTAGTAGGATTAATTATTCCGTAGACAAGTTTGTCTCTCAATTCATTGCCTTTACACAGCCGTTGTTTTATTTTTCGTTTCGTTCTTTTGGAAAACATTGGCGAGCGCGCGAGCGAGGCGAACATGCAAGCGAAGCGAAACAGTATTTTAGGTTCTAGTTTAGAGAAGAAGATCTCTCTTATTGAAGAAAAACTTGGACAACTAAGTGAGTTTCATCTTCAATTGTTTTACAATTGCAGAGACTGCACAGCCTTTCATCACGTGGTATATTGTCGTATTTACCTGTCTCAATCCTACGTTTGTGACTGTTTATTCTCAGTTTTACGAAATAATGTTTTCCTAGAAGGGTTCTTTCTTGTTAGATCTAGGTAGGTAGGGGGGCTATAATTCGCTTTGATTTGGTGGGACCAAAACATTGGCATTTTATGGTATGGTGCATTTTTTTAAACATGAATGATAGGTTGACATTATTATCATTTTAATATTCATATTTTAGCTATGGATTTTTACTCCTTGACGAGATGTATGATGTCGATTTGCTCAACAATAAGCTACTGATTACACGGAAAGATTTTGAAGTCACGAAACTACGACGCCTATCTACGGAGTCTTACGTCAACTCAAGCAGCCCCTTAGCTACGGAGTGGATATGGTACTGGCAGGACGAAAATGGACTCTGGAGGATGTATGATCAAGACCACACTGTGAGTATGGAGAAATCATGATACCTCAAATCCTCTACTAAGCTCGCCCCCTCTCAAATAAGCCCCCTCCCTTTAATAAGCCCCTCCCTTTTCAGGAGAAGAAAATTAATAAGCCCCCCCTTCCCCCTTTAATTGTTCTTCACTAATAAATGATAGACCGTATTAATCAATCACAACCGTAAAACTTCATGTGGACTGATCCGAGATGGTATATTTATCAACTCCTGGAAGTTCGGATTTGTTTGTGATCCTCGGCTGCATAACCTCTAACCTCCTTGTACTTGAGTTTTTCCACTTTGTATTCTAGTTCTTTATGGACTACTGATACCATCGTCTGTTCTAAATTAAATAATCCTCCCCTCTCAAATAGGCTCCCGTCTCCATAAAGGCCCCCCCTCAAATGGGCTTGAAATAAATAATCCCCCAGGGAGCTTAATAAAGGATTTACGGTAACTCACCTGTAAGTAGCCTTACAGTCCCTCAAGGTAAGTGGTGGAGGGGTGAGGGGCGGTTAGGGCCCACCTTGGGTTGTTTCTGTGTAAAGGTTCTGCGAGAATTGAAGGTTTAATGGATAGCTTTTGGTGAGCTCCGCAAGGTTATTAGTAATACAGTCGACTCCCGATAACTCGAACCCTCGCTAACTCGAACCTCGCGCTAACTTGAGCCAGAATCGATTTTCCCTGGATTTCCGTGATACATTTACTGTAATTTTACCCTCGGTAACTCGAACCCTCGATAACTCGAACTCCCGCTAACTCGAACCAATTTTCGTTTCCCCTCAGGTCATTTTCTTTATAGTTTTACCCTCGATAACTCGAACCATGTTTGGAGCCCTGAAAAAGTCGGGAAAAACGCCGTCTACGGGCGTCCGAAACATTGAATTTGGATTTCCTGTTGACGTGTTGTAGGAGTGTAGTTTACTAGTGGAGGCTGATGTTGATTGTCACAGGCTAACGTGAAGCAGCTTTTTTTCTCAAAACAATAAAACGCATGCTCTATTTAGGCTATGTTTTGTTGCGTTACGTTCTGATTTATAATTTAGAAGTATCTTTTAATTTTCACTTGACATTTCTGCAATTAAATGTGATTAAAATGTTCACTGTGCAGTAAAACTGTTTTTTACGTTACTCTCGGCTATTTTCTTCGAACACCCGACAACTCGAACCTTTTTTCGATTTCCCTTGAAGGTTCGAGTTATCGGGAGTCGACTGTAATAATAATGCTAAATAATTATTTATCTACCCCCCTTATGGGGCTTTTCAGGGATAATAATAATAAAAAAAAATGATTCAAATAGAACATAATATGTTTAAGGATCCCAACTGGTAGGAGGCAAACCAGTTGGCTATTTACATGCGTGGTCGAGGATTTGAACTCCAGACTACCAAGAACAAATCCAGCTAGTGGTTAGGGCGGGACTTCAACTCGGGGCTTCCGGATTGCAAGTCCAGCGCTCTCACTACTCGGCCACGCTTCCTCCACGATATGGAGGCAATATTATGGGATATGAAAAGCTTCTCTAGGGGATCTGTGTAGTATACATCCGGGACGAGCCTAGCGCGGGAATTCTGGGGTCATGTAACTTGACGAAGTTCGGTTTTGGAGTGTAGCGGTGAGATGAGGAGTCCTCGTATGGCCTCAGTGGCTCTTTAGAAATGCTGTTATCTGTAGTGTCATTCAATTCGTTCGGGGAAATGAAAGGAAATCTCTTTTCCCACGGTAGACAAAAAAGGGAGAAACCTTTTGTACGTCTACGGATGAAGTTGTTGCATACTGATTGTGCTGAAAGGAACAAATGATTTCTCCAAACCAGTAAGAGATTTCAAAGAGTTTTGTCGCTCAAAAGCCTGAGGTAAGCTTGTCAACTCTTTCAGTCAAATCAGAATCTGAAACATGATTGATTTAGTTTAAAAGTATTGAAAAGCAAATGGAAACACTAGACTGTTCACAGTCCCCTATTTTTTCGTGAGATCGTCGAGATATAGCGCGTCTTACCGTTAATGGCGGCCATCTTGATTTTCAAATGTACCGAGCTGGGGGCGGGCGTCGGGTAGCCCCTAAGTAGTTTTGACACTCATGTAAGATGGCAGCCCATAACGCAAAGCCCTCGATCTCGACCATCCTCCGGAAAAATATAGGACTGTGAACAGTCTATGGAAACACCGTGGAGAGGTTTCATTTACATGGTCCCATGCCCAACAGGATAAAAAGTATGTCGCCAGAGTTTTCCATGGGGGCGAAATCTTTACTTTAACATCGTATATGGCTGTAGTCTTTATTTAAAGTCTTGTCCTGCGTAGATGAGCATTATAGCTATTTGCGGGACATAAAGTATTGTAACTTTTTATTTCATTAAATACATACATTCTTGTTGTTGTTGTTGTTGTTGTTGTTAGTTTCAGAGTAATCGGGCAGAACCCCCGATTAAGAGTTGGACTTGCTGGATATGTGACTGGTATATTAGGCCAACACAACAAACATTCCAAGTAATATATGGAGCGCGCTTTTTAATTTGGTACATCAGTAAAATTCTGTATAGAGTAGTGTATGGTATCTTGTCTCGACAAGCAACCTTGTTATTTTTAGGGAAAAGATCTTCAAGAATCCCTAGAAAAAGCCTTCTTGAACAAGAAAAACGATTTCAAGTTTCGGATTGCGGAACAGGATTACATTTTAAGTTTTATACCATCAAGTGACATGTGCCAGAAAAACGTCAAGTATGGCACGACGAAAAAAGTGCGAAGAAGGCCTGGAAAATTTGTGTCTAAGGATGACATTTCTCAGCTTAAAAGGTATTTGTGTTGTAGAATTAATTAATGACAAGAACTTTATCCCTTGCCACCGATAATATATAGATTTAGCCAGGGCTAAAAGCGAAGCTCTTGTTAATAAAACTTGTAAACAAAAAAAATTAAATCGTCTAATGCTAAACGGGGAGGCCAATGGAAATGGCATCAATAGATCTAATTAGCAAAAAAACAAATTGCACGTGCAGCACACTTTTTTTTCTAATTAGCAAAACAACAAAATTTGCACGTGCAGCACGCTTTTCGTCCTTCTTTGCCGTTGTTTTGCACAACTACAACGCTGTTTTGTAGGACTAAACGTCAAACTTCCTAGTTGCACATTATTTTTATGGAGGAATTCTTACCCAATATTTTGTCTCCTGTGTTGATGTTCGCTTTTATTTTTCAGTGCCGCTCAGTTTCACCTTGCTGGCCACTAGCATTTCTCATTGTCTCAGAGCCGCTTTGAATTTTCATGTTTTTCTTCCTACAAAATTCTTCTCTTTTGTTCTCAGAAACTAGCTCTAGCTCAGTTTCTCTGTTATCCACGTGAGTGTAAACATCAAAAATAACGTTGAAAAAGACACGACTTTGTTGTTGTTTTTTCTTTCTAAAAGTCCGGGCGGCCATGCGATTTCTTTCCAAATAAAACCTTGAGATGCATTTGGGTTGCCATACCTGTTAATTGAATTATTTTACATTGGTATGTCTGTGGTGCGGACGGACGGTCGGGCGGGCGGGCGGGCGGTCGGTGTACGGTCACGTGATTACCAAATTTTCTCGGATGGGTAGTTTACCACATTTTTTTACCCATGGTGCTCCGCTGCGCGCTTCGCGCGCGAGAGCTCCGCTATGATGGGCCAGTTTCTTTATTTCAAAATAATTACCTTAAAACCTCACATATTCTTTTCACTGTGAAATTAAGGTGACCAAAAGAAATGTTTTGGTAAAGCTCTGTTTTAAGATAAAAACTAGGTACCCAGCAAGACAATGATTTATGTAAAATTTGACCGCAGGTGTGGTCGTTCATTTGCATTATAATCAGTCACAAAAACATGTCACATGATGGGCCATGATGTGATGTGTAATCTGTTGGAAGCTGGTCATTGATACCTGAAGCGTGTTTCGTGAAAATTACCTCAATGTGCTTTTACTGTTTAGGTAAATGGCGGATACCTCTTTGGAGCCCACAGACAGCCCCCGTGGGCTAATCTGATGGATCTATAGAGGAAAACTTATGGTGTAAGCATTTAAGTGAAACATCGGGTAATAATTCTTTCACAGAAAACAATCAGTTGCTCATTTACGTGCTATAAATTCACTGAACTATACGTTGGAACATTCTTAAGAGAATAAACTGCAAAACAATGTGCCACTGCATTGGAGCAGTGTAAAAGTGCAGACTGCGGACTGGCTGCGGCGCGGACTACTGTTTTTAGGGCTAGAAAACAATGGGACTATTGTTCTCAAGTTCACATTTGCATGGTGAAAAAAATAGTCCGCACTGTGTTTTACACTGACCGCACTGCATTACCATCTTTTTCATTAGGTCTCAGAACGCAGTGAGTGTCGAGCAAAGGAGTAATACAAGAGTCACTAATACGCCAAATCATTGGTCTTCCATGCTATCCAAGAGGCAATATCAACGTGTTTCGTTATCAAGACTTTCTGAAGAATTTAAAGAAGTGGAAAAACTCTTCAAAAAGTCCATCAAACGGAGTGTGGTAATTGTTGGAATTGAACGAGTGCAAAACCCTTTCATGTGGGAAAAGTACCAAAGGTACTACTAAACAAATGCATTAAACGTAAGGTATTAAAAACTACGTCCTGACCAATAAACGTTTCCGTCGCTTATTACAACCCTAGAGGTGTGAGGAAACTCTAATTGTCCCTAAAACATAAAGAAAGACAATATCAAAACATAAGGATCACGAGGGCTTAACTTGAGTGCCGCGAGGGTTTGCGAGGCACGTTTTCCTAGTATGGGCTGGTCATTTGTGATAAATAGTGTTTTTCAATCAATACATCTTTATTGGAAGGGAGATGGGGGAGGGGGGGGGGTTGGTTTGGTGGGGCTTATTTAAAAGGCGTGGGCTTCATAGATTATTAGTGCTATTTAACTATCCTCTTTTTTTCCAAAAAAATAGCTCAAACAATTTTCCAAAATTGTTTTTTTTATATTTGTATATGCATAATTCACATTTTATCTTGTTTTGTCTTTTTAGTTTTTCGAGCGTTTTTAACATGAGCCTCGACTCTGGCTCGGAAGATTATGCAAACACTTCTTACGTCTTCGAGATTAAATAAATTATTCTATTCCATTCTACCCTCATATACTGTATCTGCATGTACCCATCTTAGTCTTATTTACTCGGGTTGCTTGAGGGTCTTTCTCACTCCCACTCGTTTCTTACAGTAAGCTCCTTTCAAACCCTCTAATCCCCTTCTCAAGAACGCTTCAGAGGCAGAGCAATTGATTTGAGAAAGAGATCGATAGCCCACAAATTAGGTTGAATTTTATGACATCAGTACGCGTATTTTCGTTATTGAAAAACACACATGCGCGCCCTTCGGTTGTTCATCCTCTTTATAGTTCTTTATTCAATATTAAATTAAAGCGAATGATAGGACTTCAAGGCCAAAAACAAAAGTTGACTTTCATTACTGTATTTTATTCAGGAAAAAGGAAAACATGGCAGCAGCGAGGATTGGCTCTACCAAGGGACGGTTTGTTAACGAGAGGCAATTGTTTCATGGAACTGACCCTAAAAACGTAGAAGGTATCTGTAAACATAACTTTGACTGGCGTCTTCATGGGACGAACGCAACAGTTTACGGAGAAGGAAGCTATTTTGCATTAAACTCCTCGTACAGCGATAGTTACGCTAAGGAAGATTCTAAAGGGTCTAAGTTCATGTTCGTCGCCAAGGTTCTCGTTGGGTCTTACACTAAAGGCCAGTCCAGTTATCGGAGGCCACCGTCAAAGGAGCCTTCGAACCCCGCAAGTGATCTGTACGATTCCTGTGTTGATGACAGGTCATTTCCAACCATTTTCGTCATTTTTGATACTGATCAGTTCTACCCGGAGTACATAATCGAGTACACCACTGCTCGAGGCGGTCATCAGCAGCCTGCGGGACCCGCGAGACCTACAAGACCTGTGGCAAGAGCACCAGCTCCAACGCCTAGACGCTCACCAGCTGCAAAGGTAGTGGCAACTAAAGCGCATTACAAAGTTAGCGGCCCATCCACCAGCCCATCCACCAGTTACCAGACGAGCACAACCTCGAGTGTGCGTTCGCGTGTTCAAGCACCTGGTACAGGCGGTTACACTTCCACATCCAGCACAACATCTGCAAATTATTATCATTCACCCGTAGCAGGAGTGAGCCCAAATACCAGCAGCGCATCAATCCAAAATCAGTCTCTTCCCACGGCTTCAACTTCTACTTCATATGCGTACTCTGGCGGGTCAAGCAATCATTCGGTTTCACCTTCCTTATCTCGATCATCCAGTCCAGCCTTTACGCCCAAAAAGCACAAGGGTTCTTCAAAAAATAAGAAATGTTTAGTTATGTGATTTCTTCCATTGTTTTTGTTGATTTTGTTGCAGCAGCGTTGAAAGAAGAAGAAAGTTTTAAAAACTATCACAAATGTTAAATGCTTGAACGCAAGGTTGTAGACTAGGGAAATATTTGGGCAGTTAATTATAATAAGCTCATACACTATGAACGTTCTAAATTAGGGACTCAATGTTACCTATGATCTTGAAAAGCAGTAATGTATATTGTTATAAGGTTAAGGTACAGACTAAATTAACTGAAAAGTATAGGAGTGAAGGGGTAAATGTACTTTTAAAATACTGTGCTGATGCGATTATATAGAGAATGCTTATTTATGACTGATCATATCGTAGAAATGTCACCCGTTCATGTCCCAGCTATTTTACTTTGACTAGGAAACCTGATTTTTTTTATTCTGTTTAATTTTTCGCTGACAAGAGGTCGGTCTCACTTCGGGGTTCGACTCCAAAGAAAATGAGTAACCAATTACAACTGTAAAATAGAGGAGTCAAAATAAATTCTCTTGCGGCGAAAAATCCGCCTTGCAGGCCTTTCTAGCCTTTCTAGATGTGAAAACTTTGACTGGCGTTTGAACGGAAAAAATGCCACTATGTACGGCCAGGGAAGCTACTTTGCAGCGAATGCCTCGTATAGCGACACCTTCGCTAGAATAGATTCTCGTTTACGTCAGTTCATGTTTCTGGCCAAGGTTCTGGTGGGTTCCTATACTACTGGCCGTTCCAGTTATCGAAGGCCACCGTTAAAGAACCCTCTGGATCCTGTAAGTGATTTGTACGACTCGGGCGTTGACAACATAGCTAATCCAAAAATCTTTGTTGTGTTTGACACCGATCAGTTCTATCCCGAGTAGGTCATTCAATATTCAACGCAGCGCCAAGCGCGGACGGTTACTGCTAGTGCCTATGCCCTACCACAACCCTATGCAGCGCCCTCATCAAACCTCCAACCGCAGCAAGGCATTCGTACTGCTTATCTTCCCAACACTCAGTTACAGCACCTTCGCTACCAGCTCCCCCGAGATCGCAACCATTAAGGAGCACTTCGACGTACCCTTCAATACCGAGTAGCACTGTTTCAGCATCTATTCGAAATGGATCTGGTACGAGAAGCAGTTCATCCCGCGTAACCGCCGCCGGTTCAGCTGTACCTATGCCACAAAAAACAACTCGTGTCGCTACAACATCCAATCGGCCTAGAGGGCTTGTCACCCATGGTGGCCATAGCTCCACCACATCGGCTAGTAACTCGCCAAGTAGCTCAAATGCTTTGAGTACAACAACTATTGCCAGGGGCAATACTGTCCGAAATTTAAACGACACAAGGGTTAGTTCAATTCATTGCGTCACACCTACACGCCAAGGTGGATCTGATGAACAACGTGTTAGCCAATCAAGTGCTTTTAATAGTACTCATTCTACGCCTTTTGATGCAAAAGGCTCAGTAACGACCGACCCACCCTAGAAGAAAAAAGATTGTTTAATAATGTAATGATTTTAAAATGACCAGTTAAGTATATAAGGCGCACTCTGATTGGCCTAGTGTTTGCATGAGAGCATGTAATCACAGTTGTGACGTCACGATCTTTTCAGTGCGCGCGCTAATCACGCAACAAGGATTTTGAAAAAAGGATTTTGAGCTTACATTTGTTTTTTTGCCAATATATTTGATGCGTGAAACTGAAAAAATATTTGTAAACATGCTGTGCCAAGTTTTTTTGTTTAAGTTGATATTTAAAGCGAGAACAACCTGAAAAATAAGAAATGATGGCGCGTACAGAACTTCGTACACAACCCAACACAACAGTACGAATTTCTCTCTTATTCAGAGCTCGCAACGAAACGTTTTGCTTATTTATTGATTAAGTCGACTATAGTTGTTTTATAGAAGCCATAAAAAATTGTTGGCCGTGTTTTTATAGCCTTATAAAAACACTTGAGGCCAGCGTCTAGAATTCTACAAGTTTGAGACAATTTTAAATAGGTACAAAATTGCTAATAATAGAAATTAACACAGAAGGTAATTTTATATAAAGTAAAGGGGGTCAGCGTCCATTTTCTTTTAAAGAAGTCTTTGTTACTGAGTATTCTGTTTTATATCAAGAAATGTTTGGAAGGATTTGTTTTCTGACTCCTTCACAACTATTTTTCAAAAAGCACATTTTCTAAGGAAAGACGAATTCGTTGATTCGAAATACCGTAAAATTCCGAAAATAAGCCCCGAGGCTTATATGTTCCAATGGCCCTTTTTGAGGGGCTTATTGACTCATAATCGGATAGGCTTATACTGGGTAGAAATATGCGTCTCAGAATCCATTGGGCTAGCTTAGTTGGGCGGAAATGTATGTTACTTAGTAATAACTTGCAGTAGGTTTTTACTGAAACTCGCCCTGAGGACGTAGACCTTTCTAAACTCAGCCATGCAAGTACTTTGTCGATATGGACCGAGGAAATCCAAACCAAGACTGAAGACTGTCATTGCGCAAGCAGCAATATACTGTTACACTTTTTGACTGCAATCATTTGGCACACGTAATAGTTCTTTGGCAAATGCAAAAATTTATGTGTTACTGTACAGTTTTTGCTTTGTTTTATTGTGAATTTGAGGGCAATTTCCGAGTACAAACCCCTGGGGGTTTGTATTTGAAGAGACGGACGATTTATCAGAGGGTTTTTTTGCGTTACGAGTTTTGGTGGGCATATATTTGGAGGGGCTCATACATGTAGGGGCTTATTTTCGGAATTTTAAGGTCTTTAAGGAAATTACGAACCAATACAATTTTAAATCCGAAATAGGTTAGATCATAAGAGGTGATAGAACAAATGAGTTGATGATCCTGGTTGGTCTTCGCAGAGAGTTTATGAATAAACTGTTTTAAAATCTAAGTATTTTATAACAAAGAGTTGAGTAAAGTAGTTTGTGCTGGAAAGTTCGTCGATTTAACAACAATATAGAGTATCAACTTGAAATTTTGCCTCAGGAAGTCGCTGGTAAAATTAAAGTTAATCTGTATCTTATGAATAATATTGGGCGGTGTGTCTTTTTCTGTGACAACTATCTATTAAGGATGACCCCAAATATAAGCCGGACTTACGACTGGGAACTGAGGCGCGGTTGTGAAATGTTTTGCAATTAAGGCGAGAGAAAATTTAGGGGCCACGGTTAACCTTGACCGATTTGCTCAAAATAGTCATTCTTTGTTCAAGAAAACAAAGCTGATTCGAGTTGTGTAAAGTTGCAGTCAGCCTGATACCTTTTCCTAAAAGTTTACCGCGACGTTTTGCAGTTTGTTCTTAGAACGCGAAATGTTGGTATTAACTTGCTCTATAGAACGAGTCACTCAGTCTCTTGATTGAGGCCATATCCACACGATTCCGGACATTTTTAAAACTGCACATTTTTTATCCAGATTCATGTGGACGGGGTCTTAAACTGCTCTGAGAGCGGTTTCAAAACAATGCGGTCTCGGTGACCGGATTCACAGGTTTCTGGATAGAAGGCCCGGGGGATACTCCCTATGATGGCCTATACGACGAGGCTCCGCCCGAAAGGGGTATCTTTTTCAGGCTTCAGGTATATGATAGGGTTGGGATTTCACTAGTTGAAGTATATTAAAGGGTAGGGAAATTTTGGGTCTGTGAAAGGGCCTAAAAGGGCTAACAGATGAATTGTATGGCTTTAAAAAGTGGAGAAAACGTTCTATTTAACAATTATTCCTCGAGCCCGAATGGGCTCTGAGTCAATAGCCCATTCGGCCTTCGGCCTCGTGGGCTATTGACTCAGAGGCCATAAGGGCGAGAGGAATAATTGGTTTAGTAAAATCCAACTAGTTGGTCAAAAATATCGAGACAAAACAACTTAAAGCAAGACTTTAATCCTTTTTTTGAGGCCAAAAAGCCGGCTCTTTTCGCTACTAGTGGGCTATAACATATAGCCTAGTAGTATCTCAACCAATCAGAACGCAGCATTGATAATAGACCACCAGTTGGATTTTACTGATTTATGATAGTGCATTTACAGCGGTTAAAAGGGATGTAAAGTTCTAAACAAGGTATGTGAAAGGGGTACCATTTGTCAATGGAAGATATACGAAAGAGGTACCTCTTTCGAAAAAAAAAAAAAACAACAAAAAAAATGGTATGTGAAGGGGTAAGGGGTTGACCCCTCAGGGCGGAGCCTCCCCGTATAAATACTTGTTGAGTACCCTTCCCCCGGGACAGAAGGCCGATTCGTATAAAAAAGATTTTACTATTTCAAAAGTATCCGGATTCGAGTGGACGTAGCCTGATATCTATAATGCGAAACTGCCTCTGCTGCAACTACACCTGACAGATTCTCTTACCAACAAAGTACGTGATTCTCACTAATGCTGCTAACTTTTTAATTTTATGTCCTTGAATTCAACTAGCATAATATTGACCAATTCAAAGTCATTATTTTTCAAGCCAACAAAGCTGATTCCGGTTGTAAGTTGCAGTCAACCCAATACCTTTTCTCTAAAGTCTACTGACTCTTTCCAGTTTGTTCTAAGAACGTGAAATGTGTATAACATACTTACATTTTAGAAAGTTATGACTTCTATGGTGTGCCCATTGTTCTATAAAATTAGCCATTCAGTCTACGAAACTGCCTGGGGTGCGACTATTATTAATTCAGTATCTTGCTAAGAAGGTACGTAATTCGCACTTACCGCTGACTTTTTAGGTCCTCAGTGAAGTTAATGAGTAGAAATTATTTACGTGAACTGTTTTGCGTTCATTAATATCCTCAGTTTCCATGCAGAATAATCTTGACCAATTCTTTGTTCAAGCAAAAAAAGGCTGATTCTTGTTGTAAGTTACAGTCCGCCCATTTCCTTTTCTTTAGTCTCCCGTCTCTTTCCAATATGTTCTAAGAACGTGAAGTGCACTAACGTACTTTCATTTTCGGAAGTTCTTACTTCCTGGGCGTGCTAAGAGAAATTGAAAACAATGCTTATGCAAAAATTTGGAGGGACAATAAAGAGTATTATGGTATTTTTATTGTGCTATAAAATGAGCCACGTACTCACCAACTCATTGATTGTAGTCTACAAAGCCACTTGCTGCAACTACGCTCGTCAGATTCTCATTCATCAACTTACAGAGAATTCGTGATACGTAAGTACTCAGAAATAAGACCTTTGTGAAAAAATAGATGAGGATCTTAATCTAATTCTGTAGACCGAAAAGTTCACTGAGAACTTTTTACTCTGTTATTGTGCGCGAAATTTTACAATTTATTCCGGGCTTTTTGTTCAAGTTTGCTGACTGAAATTATGTTCGATTTTATGATAAAGACTTGTTCGCCTTTGAAAAAGCCAAAAGAAATACTCAAATTCCTACATGCATACTACAGAGCGCAGTTCTTCTGCTTCGTATAAATTGCTTTGTAGACTTTGTAGGTCAGTCATCACGGATATCGGAAAACGTCTTCTTATTTACAATTTTTTTATTTATTTTTATTTTTTCGTACTATTTCAAAAACGAGTGCCAGGGTTTCATCAGGTTTCCAAAAGCGAGAAAACATTTGAAACAACGTTTGGAAACCTGATGAAACCCCAAAGCACGAGTTTTTGAAATTAGTTCTCCAACAAAGAAAATTAGTAGAAATTATAATTTTAATAAGTTTTCTGAATTCAAACACATCAGTTATTTGAGACGTGGAATGTCAGGACCTGTCACCTACTTGGTTCTTCCTGGTGTGTTGGCATTCAATGCCACGTCAGTGTTACTTGGCTATTTGTGACTTCCGTAAGCAAACACGTTGCTTCGCAATACAGGTGGCAGAGTAGAGGTTTAGACGTCTTAAAACTTGTGAAGAAGAAGAAACGTGTGTGGCCGGTGCTATACCTAAGTCTACCCGATATAAAAACAAATGGGCGGCTGGCATTTTTGATAATTTGCAAAGAGCTCGATTTCCTAAAGTTGCAACGTTGTAACCGGCTGGTCTCTTTAATAAGGGACCTCACGAAAACTACGACGGCGAGGGCAACGGGAACGTCAAAAAAGCAATAGGTTTAATCAGCAAAATAACAACTCCGCACTTGCATTATTTTTTGTAAATTTCTTTCCCGTTGCTGCACAACTACTACGTGAAATGGCCAAATTGTAACTTTACTTGAGAACGGGAACGGCAAGGCGATAAATTCTACCATCTCTGTCTGAACTCGCTACCACCTCTCTTCGCTCCATCTTAAAATCTCGTCTTTTAAGTAACAGTCGACAGGGGATAATCGTAATAGGTTTGAAAGGACGCGAAATCTATTTTTCAGCGACGTTTGCGTTTTCATGGACGTCGCCGATGTTGGATAGTAAGGTCCCTATTAATTATGATCTGCACAAAATTCAGTCCTCGGAAGTTTCGTTAGTTCAAATGGGTGCTTTAAGCCTTAATTACTGGCTGACGTGAGTCTATGCAAGAAGTTGCCAAACCGTCAAAGGAAAGATATTCAGCCAAAACAATTTACCAGAGTGTGTGAAAAACTGTGAAATATGTCGTTTCAGCGAGGAAAAGAATGAGAAGTTGGATTTTAATTCTCTCGATCGATGCTTCGGACAAAAGGTGCAGTGGTGTTGCTTTATGTGGCACTTGTCATTTATTTTGATACTTTGATACTGTTACATTTAACGTTAGCAGTAAATAAGCTTGCTCTAAAGTGTATTGCAACTTTGTAATCAAATAAAGTTTTTCATCTTCGTGCGTTCGTCTTGCTCTTTGAATATGCAAATTAAGAAATTATACACGGGTTTGAAATCGTCTCCAAACACATGTGGTTTTCAACTCGTTTTTCATTGGGTTTCTAAACTCATCCACCTGACCAGAATGAGGCGTTCTGGTTGGGTGACAACATTATGGATAATTAATGAGTTTCAGAAATGCATCTCACGACTGGCATATCGTTCACAGTTCAGTGACGGGATCTAGTTTTTTTTTGTACAGCTATATTTCGAGAAAGGTTGTCGAGAAAAAAGCACGCGACAATCCCAAATGTTATTGTTGGTTTTCGAGTTCACTGTTCTTCAAAGACATTTGAAAGAATGACACGAGAGGCCATGGACATACGTTTGCGAGTGCTAGAGGAAAGCAATAAAAGTAGGTTCGACAGCTACAGTGTCAGGAACAGTATATTATGTTGATCATATGCCATATTACCTGTCGGGATTGTCACGTGCACATTTTTTCCAACAACCTTTCTGGAACTGAATAGCAGTGTATAATTAGAATCACAAGACACAGCCGTGAATATTAGCCGCTCACGTTTCACGGAAAACCCTTAGCTTGCTATGGTGATATAAGGACAAACGGCTTTTTTCTTTTGCTTGATATTAAATAATTACAAACAAATCTCAAATCATATCATTTGGCTCTTATCTGTTTCTGTTTCTTGGTATTGCGACGTGTACTATGATCTAATGCATTTATATGACATATATAGCCCAGTTAATACGTTTAAAATGTCGAATTTAGTAAAAAGTATGATAATTTAAGGAATTTAACGCCTAAAAATCCGAAGACCACTTTCCCGGACTTTCAGGAAGCGACGTGGCAAGTTTATTGCAATGTTATTACATTATCAGTGTCACAAAAGTGCTAAATCTTGATTACGTTTACCACCATTTCATACTATATCTGACTGCCTGAGATTCAAAAAGGCACCAGTAAAAATGTTTAGGCCGTTATATTATAACTGAGATAGTAAATGCCGCGGATACGGTGGCTGATATGGACAAAACATTTAGACACAAACGAGAACAGAAAATTGAATCACAAAACCTCAAAAAAGAACCAAAAAAAATAAAAACAGAATCGCAGAACCAATAACACCGAAACACATTATGGTATTCCCGTTAAAAATTATTCTGATGCTGTGTGAACGCAGTCTAAATCCCGGGGAGGGAGGTACTTTAGGAATTTTTGGGTGGGGATGTGCCGCTGGGACCCTGAAACCTTTAGGCTTTACCAGAGCTAGTTCAAGTGAATTTTGCTACCCTATACTAGACTAAACTCCCCAAATCCCACCCTATCCTAGAGTAGCTGTTTTCCAGAAACAACTGAGGTCACTAGCACAGTCCAGCCAAAACAAAACCGATTTGACTTTTTTATATTTTTGAGTGGCAGTTCCCGGTTTCCCAAGTCTAGACTGAAATCTTCAGCCAATTGATCAGTTTAAATGGAAAATGATAACCTCCTCTAGACCCAAACTCTCTGACTTATGTACCCTATCCCAGAGTTAATTGCTTGAAAACCATACCCTTCACAGCGGCACATATATGGCACTACCATCCCTCCCGGGCCTAAATCAAAGAATAACCGGGCTCAGTGTTGCTACTTCAGTATACGAGTACTGCAAAATTACAGTGTTAATACGGGGTAATCCTAGCGGAATTTGTAGGAAATGCACTGTCGCGCTTGACAAGTGGCCGGAATGTTTTATATTTTTGCCCGTTTTAATTTTTCAGAATGGATCTACTTGTCTTCTTTATGGTTTGTGGAGTAGCTCTGCTTGGCTCTTGTACCAGTGGAAATGCAGAATGGCCCCCTGCTGCCTATAAGAGAGTCGTCAAATGTATTCCCAAGGGAAAACCACCAACGCCCTCAGTGCCGTACAACGTAGCATTTTGTCTTGCTTTAAAGGTTTTACGGAATATTTTGCATACTGTATAAGTGTTTAATCAACGAAGCAGCACGTTGAGGTACAAGGGGTCAATACTGAAAATGTCCCGGGAATATCCGGTTCCCAATATAAACAGAATCGAGGATGCTTGTCGTCTCTCATAAGTGTGGTTAAAGCTTCGTATTTTTAATCTCACTTTTTTACGTGCTCGGGGAAAAACGTCAATATTTTTAGCCGTTAAAATCTCGTTTAGGGTTGAAAGCAACGAAATTTATCGAAACATAAAGTCTATTTTTAATATTTTGGGTATCTGTCAGTGGTCAAAAACATTTTGAGCCGCGCCCAGAAAAGTTTTCTGGCGTTTGATTAAAAATTTCCAACGATTATTCTCATTTGTTCCCTGAGGGAATCGTCCCTTCCTCTCTTCTGCACGGGTAAAAATGCCCGCGTGGCTGAACCCGACTGCCCTCGGCAGGTACTGACCAGGAGATAACTTCACCACGGAAAGGAAAAAGAAAGGAAAGGAAAAGAGACAACAGACAAACAAACAAAACAAACGAAAGAAATGAATTTCCCTTTTATATAAGGCTTGTAACCAAAAGTATTAACGTTTTTATTTTCATATCTAAACCAGATGGATTCCGAATGCCTACTAGAGCCATTAAATGCCACATGTTACCGCGAAGTTTTTGACTTTTATCGTGCGTACAACCTGGAACGGATTTATCTTACCCGAAAATCTGACTTTTGTCCGAAGCCACTTCCTTACGAGGAATTAAGGGAGCTTGTCCGTGAATCTGGTAAGTCATAATCTTAAATAACAGCGTGGTTTACTCGTCTCTTGAAGTATTTTCAAAAACCTAAATTAATGCAAGGATGGCAAAGGGCTGATTTCTTTGGGGCCAATATTTCGGAGATTGGTTTACGCTTTCGGGAAGTGGGGAAGGGCACACTCCCATGTTTTTTTTCATGTTTTTTTTTTTTCGTTTTTTTTCATATAGTCATGTACGGCACCTTAAGGGTATGGTTTTTAAGCCGTTGAATCAAAAATAGTGTGTTGATTTTATTTACGTTTTGAGGGCAGGAAATGGGAAAAGGGTTTTTAGATCCTCCCCTTTATCAAGCTCACATTCAAGTGGTTCTTAGCTTGAACTTAAAGCTATTTATCAAGTTTCGCGTCTTTAACTGAATATATACTTCTAGAGTACTCTCTGACCTGTTGACTTATCTCTATATGTAAATTTGCCTTCTCTTTTTTAATAGCTATCATGAAGAAAGAACATCTCCCTAGTATTGGTAAGCATGCATGCAAAGCCAAATAAGCCCAGTTGGAATAACACTCTTAATGCGGCTTGTAAGACATTTGCTTGGGCACATGGTTTTCTATTTCTTAGCCAAGATTGTGGAAGACTGCGAGCAGTCTCTTACTTTCTTTTGAATCACGATAGATGGCGAACATGGTAAATCGCGAGCACGCGCGAGGAACGATGGCAAAGCCTGAGCGAAGATTTTCCATTCCAGTTTTTGTCTCTCTGACCCAATCTCTCCTCCTTTTTACCGTTCATGTGCGTAAGAGTCTGAGGATAGAAGGACGACCGCTTACGGTCTAGTTGTGGCCCAGCTAGACGTTTTTATTATTTAGACTCAAACAAACTTTATTAAGTATCAGTTTTGCCTCGAGGTTTAAACGTTTCCATATTCATGTCTCAGGGATCTTTTTTTCTACCTTTAGAGAACGATACCTACGTGGACTGCGCTGGTACGGTGGAGAACACTTGTGTTAAGGTGGCCGTAAAAAACTTGGAAAAAGGAAAAAATGTCCTCCAAATATTCCTTAGCTATATCAACTGCTACGATAAGGAGACGAAGACATGCCCCGTTCCAATTGCTCGTAATATCAACGTTGTCATACAGGCCTTTAAAAAACATATTTACGCATATAATGGCCTGCTCGCCAAAATGCTGAAAAAGATCATTCCCGGCCGCGACGTAGTAGGTCGGAAACTTTCTGTTTAAACATATAACCGAATACCTTTATAGAAAGGACATTGGATAAATTCAAGCTAATTCAGGGTTAATAAGTGTTAATCAGGGCATGTCAAAAATAGTTTCTCATAAGTTAACACTCTAAAGCCAGTTTACTGCTGTAACTAGTTACATGAACAAGTTCTTTTAAAGGAGCTGTGTCTTTAAATTTATCAAAATTTAAACATTTGGAACAGCTGCCAAATTAAGTGAAACATAAAAATAATAAATAAATTTTATCACTTGTTTGTCCCCTGAAATAACACGTGACATTGCTTTTATCCCATCAACCCTAAGGCGAGTGCAAAGATGGAGGGTATCGTAAACAAGGTCCAAACTTCCTAATGAAACACGTTCATGTCTTAACTCACCCTAGAGACAATTCTTTTTTGCAACGTTCCTTCTTCTACGCTCAAAACAAAACAAAAAAAACAACAACAACACCACCGCCAGTATGGGAATCACATAATTGTTAACTAATATTTAATAACTGTCACCAAAAGAAGTTTTGGGTTTTGAAGGTCGGGGGCGGGGTTGAAGGAAGTGCAAGTGATGCAGAAACACAGCTTGACGCACCGGAGTACGAGTTTGAACTTTCAAGTTGATAGGGACCAGTAAGCGAATGTCCATCGATCTTTCTGTAAAGGGCACCTTTTTAAAATTACTGAGTAAAATTCCCAAGTTTTCAAGTGATACGTCTCAAGCTAGCGAAGAGGAGGCGCAAACGTACCCCTCACAATAGAAACATCTGTAAATTTTCGCGACTTTTCTTAGCTATCAGTCGTTAGCTAGTTCCCAACAAAATCATTCTCCAAATTAATAACTTTACTGAATTTAACGCGTTCTTTCCAGTGGTCTTGAAGGACAAAGTTGACCAAGAACGTGGACATGAAAGGGTCTATTATCGTCCTTACTTGTAACTGGTCCTTTCCGAACTTTTAACGTAAATTCAACTCGGGCTTAAACTTGGCCCATTCTAAAACTGTTTTCAAATGCATTTTAATATACCCTATATATGGTAACTTAATCCAGATAACTTCTTAAATCTACCGTGACTAAAAGCGATGTTACGCAGAATTAACGTTTTCTAACAACTATTTTCTGCGCAACATAGCGTTGCAACACTGTTGCGATATTATTCTAATTGTAATAACATTGTTCCAAAATTGTTGCCCAAAATTGTCGTCGATTATGGTCACTTGTAACATTGCCTTAAAGGCTTGGTTACGACTGCAGCGGGTGCAATTGACCGTTAAAAATAGAGAGCTTTAACAACCACGACGATAACATCATTTATCGTCCTTACTTGTAACTGGTCCTTTCCGAACTTTTAACGTAAATTCAACTCGGGCTTAAACTTGGCCCATTCTAAAACTGTTTACAAATGCATTTTAATATACCCTATATATGGTAACTTAATCCAGATAACTTCTTAAATCTACCGTGACTAAAAGCGACGTTACGCAGAATTAACGTTTTCTAACGACTATTTTCTGCGCAACATAGCGTTGCAACACTGTTGCGATATTATTCTAATTGTAATAACATTGTTCCAAAATTGTTGCCCAAACTTGTCGTCGATTATGGTCACTTGTAACATTGCCTTAAAGGCTTGGTTACGACTGCAGCGGGTGCAATTGACCGTTAAAAATAGAGAGCTTTAACAACCACGACGATAACATCAGCGAGAACGTCCACAAAAACCAGGCACACTTTTTGGTATATTTCTTTGACGTTGGCTACAACGAGAAACGTACTAATGCGATGCAATAGTGAGTTTTTAATATGTTCGTTGCGAAATATGCTTATGTGTGCGATTTACGAATAGAAGGAGAAGCAACAGAGAACTGCCTTCCTTGTTTAGTTTGCCACCTACATCATATTAATGAGCGTCCGAGTCCGTTCAAGGCAACCAATTTTTGATGCGCTTTCATAGCGTTCACGCAAAATAACGCGTGATATGACAGATCTACAAACTTTGTCGAACTGGAAGTAAATGTTCCGAGAACAATAGGCATTCTGCGCGATGGGAAGTTAAAACACGTGTACAACAACGACTATTTTATTTCTTCTCTTTTTAAAGTGCAATACAGCGGTAAAGAGTTAAACTTCAAGAAAATTAGCCTACAAGACAAACTGAGGCTGAATAAACATAAATTATGAGAGAATGGAAGTTCATTGTGGCGTTTTCAGTGCCGACGTCGACGTCTTCGTTGTGGTTGATAAAGGTCTCAAACTGTTGCCTGTGAGTGTCAAGGTTTTGGAACAGGTGCTCTTAACGCAGGCTGCTAATAGCTGCCTTGAGATGNACGACTATTTTATTTCTTCTCTTTTTAAAGTGCAATACAGCGGTAAAGAGTTAAACTTCAAGAAAATTTCCCTACAAGACAAACTGAGGCTGAATAAACATAAATTATGAGAGAATGGAAGTTCATTGTGGCGTTTTCAGTGCCGACGTCGACGTCTTCGTTGTGGTTGATAAAGGTCTCAAACTGTTGCCTGTGAGTGTCAAGGTTTTGGAACAGGTGCTCTTAACGCAGGCTGCTAATAGCTGCCTTGAGATGTGGAGTATTTGATTATGTACTCCGGGTAGAACTGATCAGTATCAAAAATGACGAAAATGGTAGGACATGACATATCATTAACACACGAATCGTACAGATCACTTGCTGGGTTCGAAGGCTCCTTTGACGGTGGCCTTCGATAACTGGACTGGCCAGTAGTGTAAGACCCAACGAGGACCTTGGCGACGAACATGAACTTAGACCCTTTGGAATCTTCCTTAGCGTAACTATCGCTGTAGGAAGAGTTTAATGCAAAATAGCTTCCCTGTCCGTAAGCAGTTGCGTTCTTCCCATGAAGACGCCAGTCAAAGTTCTGTTTACAAATAGCTTCCACATTTTCAGGGCTGGTTCCATGAAACAATTGCCTCTCGTTTACGAACCTTCCCTGGTGGGAACCAGTCTTCGCAGGTGCCATGTTTTCCTTTTTTCTAAATATAACACAAAAATTTAAATAGACCTTAATTTCGTGTCCACACATTTCAAATCCAGGAGGGCGAAGGAAGCATGCCGATGACCTAACTGTCAACCTCGCCAGCGAGCTATCTCTCCTTCGAATTCACTCCCATTTACCTGTTACGTACCCAAGAGGACAGGAACAGAGACCTGAAAACGAGATTGCCCTCTACTGAAAGAGATAAGGGCGGGGGCGTGAAATGCCTCAAGCAACCCTTGTAAATAGGACAGAGTATCCTTAAAAGAAAGATGTTCTGTTTTAAAAATATAACTAGATATACGTTATTACAGCTGTATAGGATCAGTATTAAGACTAAAGGGAAACAAGCTAAACACCGTAATTTTTAGGGAGTTATTATAACTCCAAAAATGGAGTAAAAATTTTAGGTAGAGGATAACCCCTTTTTTGGGGTTATTTTAACTCCTAATTTAACTCCGAATTTGGGGTCATTTTTACTCCCAGTCTGGAGTTAAAATAGCTCTGAAATGGGGTTACTTTTAGTCCTTACATGGGTCGTTTTTACTCTTTTTGGAGTTCTAGTAATTTAACTCTCAAAGTGGAGTAAAAATTTTAGGTACAGAATAACTCCTTTTTTGGGGTTATTTTAAGTCCTCAATACCTGGGGTCACTTTTACACCTGAAAAAGAGTTCTTTTAACTCCTTTGTGGAGTTAAAATAACTCCCCCAAAGATAACTCCACTGTAAGGAGTTAAATTAGCCCCACTAGAGTGGTTATTATAACTCCTTGAAAATTACTGTGAAGGGAAAAACATGTTTAAAAAACAAAACAAAAATTATATAAACAGAAAAAAAGATTAAAAACCAAGCATGAATTCAAAGGTACAGATTTCATTCAAGGAAAAGCAAGGTTTTGACGATAAAAAGCCGAACTGAAACGCACTTCGGACAAAAAAACATATCCCGCGACCTATTAACCCGTCAGATCGTCTGCCTGCGAAGTGAGACGCACTGAAAAAAGTTTTTTATCTCGATTTTCGCTCTTATTTATTTTAAGCGACTGGTCCAAATTGCCTCATTGTTCTCTGTACATACTTTTGCCTTCGAAAGTCATCACCAAAAGCATTTCTTAATCGCCAAAACGGTCGCAAAAAGAGTTAAAACAATATCGTCCAAGTTTCTCGCTTGATGAGGTCATTACATTGCGGACACCAAGACAAATATTCAAAGAAATATAAATGGGCCACACGCGTTTGCAGGCCGCAATGATCTGTGGGCGATCTGCGGAGTGCGCGCACCGCAACATTATAAATCTCGCCTTCGCGAGGGTGCCTGCGGAGCCTCGCTTCGCGGGGAATTATAGTTTCTTCAGTTCTCAGGTATTACTACACACAACCATCAATTACCCCTCCACAATTAATCTCTGTCTTCACAGATAATTCATTTTTTCTAAGGTTTGTTATAAGCGCCCGTAACGTTTGTTATTATTACAGTACACCTTACAGTTAATGCACTTGTCTACCTTTGGTACTTTTCCCACATGAAAGGGTTTTGCACCCGTTCAATGCCAGTGATTACCACCCTCCGCTTGATCGACTTTTTGAAGAATTTTTCCACTTCCTTAAATTCGTCAGAATGTCCAGATAATTGAACGCGTTTATATTGCATCGTAGATCGCATTGGATCCCAATGGCTTGGCGTATAACCGCCTCTTGAATATTTTCCTTGCTGGTTGCTAACTAGTGCTTCGTTCTGAGACCTAATTAAAAAGATGATTAATGCATAAACATCATCGTTCTTACATTCTAAAAATGTTCGGTGCCACAATAAGTAGTTTAACTATAAGTTACTGAGCAGTAGATAGTGCTATGTGAAACTATCGTAAGGGTCTCACCTGAACGGAAACAAAGTGCTAAATATCGGCCAAAATTTTTTTCAAGCTACCATTCAAAATATCCAAGGAATGTTACCAAAATCTCTTGAACTATAGATATTTTCTTATTGTAGTTTTCTTAAGTTATTGTTTCAAATTCGTCATTGTTTATTAATACTGCGCATGATCAATAAAGCCCATTTTTGTGACGTCAAAAAATGAAATTTGAGAATTCAAATCAGACAGACTCCTCAATTTTTTATGCTCTGTATTTCAGCAAAGTACCACAGTTTCAGTTTAAATACTTACGAAGAATAAACGTTTAGAACTTTTAATTGGCCACGAGAGTCACGTGACTGGTAACCATAGAAACTCTTAATTCAAGATATTTCTGGAATTAATTCAAGGATTGTTGCTTGTATTAATTTCAGTGACATAACTTTAAAGGAAACAAAGTTATAGCCCCAAGAATTCAAAAAAGTCCCGTGCCCTATCACACCCCCACAGAATTTGTTGGCCCGTAGTCTCAAAAAATCCCCATCATGCATAGAACTGACCTAATATAAAGATTTAGCCAAGGCCAAAAGCGAAGCTCTCATGGAATCTTTGAAGAAATGTCTTAATGGAGTAATTTCAAGAAGTAAACTGAACTCCTCTTGAAAGTACGTGAGCCAGCGAAAACCAAAATCTGGTCAACGGAGAACTTAATAAAAAAAAACCTCACCTCAGTGAGTTGTACACATGATCTTGCGCTACACTCATCAGATACTGTTCAGTAGATACCCTTTTTAGACAGCTGTCAATTGACCATAAGTGGAGGTCCAATATCAAGTTGAACAAAGGTTGTTTTGAGGCCCTCTCAGTCGTTTTCCGGTAAATGAAACTGATTTTTGAAAATGAATAAATGATCGTCCAGTGAACGCAATTTATGCAATTGCGTAAAGAAGCCTGAAGAAAAAAAAAATTCAGGACTTCAACGGGGTTTGAACCCGTGACCTCGTGATACCGGTGCGATGCTCTACCAACTGAGCTATGAAGTCAGTGGCTTCATAAATTGCGTTCACTGCGACGATCATTTCTTCATTTTTATTTCATTTCCGAAGTTCATATATGATTTATTTCATATATCATTGAAACTGATTTTTGTACGTTTTGTCGGTATTCGGTTTTGTTTCTCATCATTTGACTGTCCCTATAGTCATAAACCCCACTCATATACTCAGGAAGTAGTCTCGTTATACCCTGAACATATCATTGGCTATAGTTTGTCACCTTTCCAGTAATTAAATGTACCACACAAATACCTTATAAGTTGAGAAATGTCATCTTTGGACACAAATTTTGCAGGCCTTCTTCTTACTTTCTTTATGGTATACAGGATAACCCCTTTTTTGGGGTTATTTTAACTCCTAATTTAACTCCGAATTTGGGGTCATTTTTACTCCTGAAAAAGAGTTCTTTTTACTCCCAGTCTAGAGTTAAAATAGCTCCGAAATGGGGTTACTTTTACTCCTTACATGGGTTGTTTTTACTCTTTTTGGAGTTAATTTAACTCTGAAAGTGGAGTAAAAATTTTACGTACAGGATAACTCCTTTTTTGGGGTTATTTTAAGTCCTCAATACCTGGGGTCACTTTTACTCCTGAAAAAGAGTTCTTTAAACTCCTTTTTGGAGTTAAAATAACTCCCCAAAAAATAACTCCACTGTAAGGAGTTAAATAAGCCCCACTAGAGTAGTTATTAAAACTCCTTGAAAATTACTGTGAAGGGAAAAACATGATTAAAAAACAAAACAAAACCTATATAAACAGAAAAAAAGGTTAAATACCAAGCATGAATTCAAAGGTACAGATTTCATTCAAGGAAAAGCAAGATTTTGACGATAAAACGCCAAACTGAAACGCACTTCGGACGAACAAACATATCCCGCGACCTATTAACCCCGTCAGATCGTCTGCCTGCGAAGTGAGACGCACTGAAAAATGTTTTTTATCTCGATTTTCGCTCTTATTTATTTTAAGCGACTGGTCAAAATTGCTTCATTGTTCTCTGTACATACGTTTGCCTTCGAAAGTCATCACCAAAAGCATTTCTTAATCGCCAAAACGTCCGCACGAAGAGTTAAAACAATATCGTCCAAGTTTCTCGCTTGATGAGGTCATTACATTGCGGACACCAAGACAAATATTCAAAGAAATATAAATGGGCCACACGCGTTTGCAGGTCGCAATGATCTGTGGGCGATCTGCGGAGTGCGCGCACCGCAACATTATAAATCTCGCTTTGGCGAGGGTGCCCGCGGAGCCTTGCTTGCTGGGGAATTATAGTTTCTTCAGTTCTCAGGTATTACTACACACAACCATCAATTACCCGTCCACAATTAATCTCTGTCTTCACAGATAATTCGTTTTTTCCAAGGTTTGTTATAAGCGCCAGTAACGTTTGTTATTATTACAGTACACCTTACAGTTAATGCACTTGTCTACCTTTGGTACTTTTCCCACATGAAAGGGTTTTGTACCCGTTCAATGCCAGTAATTACCACACTCCGCTTGATCGAGTTTTTGAAGAGTTTTTCCACTTCCTTAAATTCGTCAGAATGTCCTGATAATTGAACACGTTTATATTGCATCGTAGATGGCATTGCATCCCAATGGCTTGGCGTATAACCGCCTCTTGAATATTTTCCTTGCTGGTTGCTAACTAGTACTTCGTTCTGAGACCTAATTAAAAAGATGATTAATGCATACACATTATCGTTCTTAAATCCAAAAATGTTCGGTGCCACAATCAGTAGTTTAACTATAAGTTACTGAGCAGTAGATAGTGCTGCGCAACCTCGTCCCCAGGGCTTTTCCCTTAAAAAATGGGTGGGGCGGGAAAAGGCCCTGGCATCGGCTGGTCACGTGTCCCCTCGTACACCCTAAAAACCTGGGTGTAATAAATTAGCGCTATGTGAAAAGCTAAAATTATGCGTAACCTCACAGCGCGCGATCTTGGGCGGCCTTTTATATCTCTTGACGATTAACGAAAAGTTTTACAAGGTTTCCTTTTTGTCACAGATACTGGCTATGGTAATTTTTTGCTTTCCTCCGATTTCTATGAAGGGGACGGCGAGCGGTAACATTTGTAAAACTTCCTTTATAGAGCGATATAAATGACAAACAAGCTATCGTACATGCATAAAGTTTGTACCGGAAAAGTTCGTTTTCGCGACTTCTTTTGATATTTTATTTTATTTCTTGCGAAGTAGACCGCCATACACAACCTAGTTCCATTCACCTTAACTCTCAGCCATATCATCATAGCGATACGCGTTGGTTTAGACTTATCTTGTATGACTGTATTTTTAAAAAATTCATTGACCTCTGCGAGACTTGACCGAAACCGGAAACCGCGCATGAATAGTCTCTGGCACCCAGGGTATCAAACGACTGTTAACAAAGAAAGACTTGGGTCCATTTAAAATTGACATAGCTGTAATTGATTCCAATCGATCGGTCAATCTTCCCTTTAATATAAGGAAAATCCTTTGTACTTATCCTCGGAAGAGAAAATATATAAGAGATCTTCAAATGTTTCAGATCGGCGACCTGTCATCGTTCCTGGCTGGAGGGCTGACTTGCATCCGGCGCGGAGATTTGTTTGTTTCATATGGTCGGGTTAGAAGACCAGATTCCATATAAAAAGCATTTTGATGAACAATTCTATTTCAATTAAGTTCAATTTGTTTAAATTCACTGCAGATCCTAGAGGCAAAGGCCCGCATTTTTGTTTGACATTGGACAAAATCACTTTCCGCTTGATGATCGTATAGTAATTCCACAGTCGCGATGAATTTCAGTCGAAGTACTACTCGATAACAGCTTTTCTCAACTCTGAAGCATTTGACATATTTTGTACGTGACAACGTTGAGCCGGTACGCCCTTTCATAAACTTGTAGCATTTGAATAATACGCAATTAAATGGATCTTAAGCTTCTGAATCGCACAGACGCGAAAATATTGACATACAGTTCGCGATATTATTATTTTCCATTGTTGCTCCGTTCGACTTCTGTCAGCGCAAAACCAGCGGGTTGCATATAAATTAGCTTCTCAGGAATATTTAGGCTGTACACGTGACCAGCCGATGCCAGGGCCTTTTCCCGCCCCACCCATTTTTTAAGGGAAAAGCCCTGGGGACGAGGTTGAGTGCTGCGTGAAACTATCGTCAGGGGTTTCACCTGAACAGAAACAAAGTGTTAAATATCGGCCAAAGCGTTTTTCAAACTACTATTCAAAATATCAAAGGAATGTTACCAAAATCTATTGAACTATAGCGATTTTCTTATTGTAGTTTTCTTAGGTTATCGTTTCAAATTCGTCATTGTTTATTAATACTGCGCATGATCAAAAGGCCATTTTGTGACGTCAAAAAATGAAATTTGAAAACTCAAATCAGACAAGTTCCTCAATTTTTTATGCTCTGTATTTCCGCAAAGTACCACAGTTTCAGATTAAATACTTACGAAGAATAAACTTTTAGAAGTTTTGATTTTTTGATTGGCCACGAGAGTCACGTGACTGGTAATCATAGAAACGCTTAATTCAAGATATTCCTGGAATCAATTCAAGGATTGTTGCTTGTATTAATTTCAGTGACGTACCTTTAAACGAAACAAAGTTATAGCCCCAAGAATTCAAAAAAGTCCTGTGCCTATCACGCCCCCACAGGATTTGTTGGCCCGCGGTCTCAAAAAATCCCCATCATGTATAGAACTGACCCAATATAAAGATTTAGCCAGGGCCAAAAGCGAAGCTCTCATGGAATCTTTGAAGAAATGTATTTATGGAGTAATTTCATAAGTAAACTGAACTCCTCCTGAAAGGACCTGAGCCTGCGAAAACCAAAATCTGGTCAACGGAGAACCGTTAATAAAAAAAACTTCACCTCAGTGAGTTGTACACATGATCTTGCATTACACTCATCAGATACTGTTCAGTAGATACCCTTTTTAGACAGCTGTCAACTGACCATAAGGTCCAATAGCAAGTTGAACACAGGTTGTTTTGAGGCCCTCTCAGTCGTTTTCCGGTAAATGAAACTGATTTTTGTACGTTTTGTCGGTATTCGGTTTTGCTTCTCATCATTTGACTGTCCCTCTGAACATATCATTGGCTATAGTTTGTCACCTTTCCAGTAATTAAATGTACCACACAAATACCTTATAAGTTGAGAAATGTCATCTTTGGACACAAATTTTGCAGGCCTTCTTCTTACTTTCTTTATGGTACCGTGTTTGACGTTTTTCTGGCTCATGTCACCCGATGAGTCAAAACTTAAAATGTAAATCTGGTCGGAAATGTGGAACCTGGAGTCGTTTTTCTTGTCCAAGAAGGCCTTCTCTAGAAGTTCTTGGAGATCTTTTCCCTGTGAATGGAATTTCAATTCGTCATTGAACTGTACATGCAAACTAATCCAAAGACTCACGCGTAGTCGGCGTAGCGAGACTGGTAGTATCAGTGTGTAGGAGTGCTACTTGGCAGCGAAGCAGCCGCGCGCAGACGAACGTCGATCCCGCGAGGCATTTTCTCAAGCGTGTGACTAGTCCTATTCTTTACGCGGGTTTACAGCCCTAAATCCCTTCACGGGTGCTTTTGGCTTTTCTGTCAAAATTCGCGCGCGTTATATCCTGCAATGTTATTACAAACATAGACACCGTTGGATAAACATCTTAAAGTCTCTTTTGCTCCCACAGACCTAATGTTAATTATTTTTTACTTTAGCCCTGAGAAGAGAAGAGACAATTCAAATGAATATTCAATCAAACAAATTTGATATGTCGCTGGAATTTAGCTTTTGACAACTAAGGCTATGGCAGTGAAAGAATAAAATGGAGTCAACAAACGCTTTTTTTTTTTATGCAGGCTGTAATGAACAATAGAACTGTACTCGGACAGACCTCAGAACGTTTGATGAAGTTCTCTGTCTCTCACCACAATGAATGCCCAGTAATTTAACCCTAAAACGTGCAAGGAAGGACGCCACATGAAAGGTTATTCCCGATTTCTTTTTCAAAATGGCTTAACGCCTACACTGGCAGGGCCCCCAAATGCGTTTTCAGTACCTGGTGCAACATGGGGCCAAGATGGCCTTTAAGGTTTTAGGGCGCCTTCCATTCAACAAAAATTCCATCCACATGCCCAACGGAACGGTACATTCTGGTTGCACAGAACCGACCCAATTAAGCCACTGCATGTTTGGTTTTGTTCTCGAAAGCAGCAGGATACGAAAAACCTGTACTGTGGACAACAATTTTGTCAAATGGAAAGGAACATTTTGGTCCGACTGACCGAAATAACCAGATCGGTCAAAAATGATCCACCTTTAAACCTGGTCCCGAAAATTCCGGTTGAACCAAACCGAAACGGTCCGTTCCATTTGATGAACAAACCGAAATTTCCGGATATTAGTCTTGAATGGACTGAGCGCCCTTAGCCCCAACCAACGCCACATTCCATGATACTCTTATCCTTTTGTAGGATCGGTTCATAATAGCCGACGAGCAGGCTCACTTGTATTTGGCGGCAGAACCAACATCCCACAAGGAGTCAAAGATTTTCCCCGAACTCACACAAAGGAGCCTGCTCAGGCTAGGTTCTTCACAGGCTATCTATAAAACGTCTAATCTTTGCAGCCCGAAGATTTCCCCCCTCTCACCCTCTTGTACGTATAATGGTGACGCTAGGGTACGGATTCGATTCCGGTGATGTGTTATTATCCGAAAACACAACGCCAAATTTTTCCATTTTGCCCACCGTATCGTCTTGTCCATACTCGCGCCATCCTCCGTCTTCGTGCTTCCAGTACCATATCCACTCAGTAGCCAGAGGGTTGGTTGAGTTGACATAAGACTCTGTAGACAGTCGTCTTATTTGCGTGAACTTTTCAAAATCTTTCTGTGTGATCTGTACCCTATTTTCCAGAAGAATATTAAAATTTCACATGTAGTTATGGTACGCATGCAAAACTTATATGAATAAAAATGACAATCATGAAAACGTAAATGATGTCTAAAGAGGTGCGAGGTCTTAAAGAGTAATTATATATAGGTTAGCAGTTTGCAGTTATTTCAATCAATTTGCCCTTTTGTAGTTATTGAAATGAGTATAAGTGATTAAAATACTAAATATATTTCAAAGAGGCATTCAGTTTTACATTAAACGGGTTTATCACTTTCGATCGCGCCATCCAGGGAGTAACTAGGGGGGTGGGGGGTAGGGGGGCTCCTGGAGAGCCCGTGAGCCTTCCTTTCTCACAAAAAAGTTAAGATATTGATAAATCAATTAATTGTATGCAAAAATCCTAAACTTTACTGTCTTTAAATTGTAATATCTCGGCTTTCTGGTCCCCAACGTTTTTGCAAAACCATCGTTTTAAAGCTGATTTTTTTTGGACATTTTTTTCTATCAAGTACCTTCCCCTTGAAATTATAACACTGAACACCATACAGTATTTTATAACGCTGATGTTTTTTTTTATCTTTGGTCTCTGGCCGTACTCTTTTATGCGCACGTTTCTCATATAGCGTTGATTTGATTTGGACTTTCACTAGGTAAATTAGTGATGATAATCAATTAGTCCATCAAAATGTTTGTGTGATAATTTTTTTCTTTGCCCCACGCTCTCGTGACATGCTAATTATTTCATTTTAACAATAGAACATACTTTCCAAAATGAGATCTTCGAACGACCTTGTGAGAAAATTCCTCAATATTCACGTCACAATACAGTTGTTCAAGCTTTTCGTTGTCTTCCTCTTTTAAACTATTCCATTCCTGTCCATCAACGTACTGCCAGAGGTAAGGCAAAGAGCAGTGATGGCCTGTACACTTGGAACCATTCTTACATATGTCAAGAATAAACTCTTGGCAAATGGGTGAATCTGGCCTGTCTAAGAGAAGTGGTTTAAGAGAATGTGGTTTAAGGAATAAACATTTACGACATACAAAAACGTCCAAGACACTGCACTGCTGAGTTATGCAAATGAATAATGAAAAAACGTAAGTTTTAAAATTAGTTGGCTTAAAGGGATTCGTGTTCGTGATCTTGTGTTATCGGCAAAGCACTCTGAACAACGTAGTTACAGCATCAAGCCAATTGGGGGCTGGTTATGACGCGGTTTTTAATAAACAAATGCCAAGCAGGAAGACTTTGTGGATGATTTTAGAAAGAGATTTTGGCTGTACTGTACTAATTATAACCGAACAATTATATTGACAATTAGTTGGCAAATGCTATAAATAGTGGTAGACAATTACACGTAAGTTGACAAGGCAACTTACAAACTTTAACAATAACTTGTGGTCTTACCACGAACTTACCTATCAACTGAACAGTTTCCTGGGTCTTCCCTAGGATGTTTTGAGCCTGACAAGCGTAATTGCCCTCATCTTCTGGACCCACGGTCTCAATTACCAGTTTTGATACACCACGGCCACGATCCCCCAGCTGAAAGCTGGAATGAGATTTAAGCTGAGTTTCCCATTGAACATCTGGGGTGGGTTTTCCCTCTGCTACACATTCTAGAGAGACAGAGCTGCCAGCTTTAACTGATACAGGACTGGAAGGGCTCGCTATTTTCTTTGGCTCACCTGTGTATAAAAGAAATGTGCTTTATTGTATTGGCGCAGAAACTTGCGCTATGGCCCATGAAAGCATAAGCCAGAAGTAGCGTTAAGCACTGTTTTTCTACATTTTGTTTTTATTTATGTACAAGAGACACTTGCCTTTGAAAGCTTAGCCACAACAATTCATCATAACCGAGATTGAAAGGTGCTACCAAGCACGCCTTTAATTAGATTGAATTATTAATAGAATTGATAAGATTGTATGTAGTCCCCCGTTTTCCCGTATGATCGTCTTGGTAGAACCGGCTTACCATGACGGGCGGTCATTGGGGGTAAACGTTACGGAAGAAGGTGCGAGACCCTTTAGTGAATCTTGCTGAACTGGTCGCTAGTTACGATAAACGCTCGATCTTATAGACAAATAGGGTATTGTATGGTCTATAAATGAATAAATAAACAAATGCGTAACTTTATAAATTTGTCATTTGAGAGGTCTAAACATTAATTTTCCTGATTTTTTTTCATTTTTTTATCATCCTTTGACAATGATACAATTACAACATGAGCACTATGGTGTATGCTTTGGTGATAAAAACGTCTTGTCGGGACGATCGAAAAGACAAGGGAGAACACTATGTTTTACTGTGAATTACTGATGTAACACTTCGTAACAACCTGCAAAAACATGCACATAACAGCTGCAACACTTCCCCTTACTACCCCGTAGCATGGTCGTGGGTGTAACAGCTGTAAAACTGGCAAACTCTTTAAACATCGTCTGTGTTATCATGCATATATTCATTTAATAAGTGAGACAATTTTCAGATGACGTTAATTGACAAAAAGTAGAAATTAATCTTACGGAAATGATAATAAGAGACAGACAATACAGAATGACAATTGAGGCAGTTCTCAATACATCTTCCTTTTTGGCTACAGGTACCAAAATTCATACAGTTCCTGCTTCCTGTGGACGAAACCTAAAGTACTGCTTAAAAAATAGGGGCAGAAGTGTATTATCAGACTTAAAAATCTCGAGGCGAGGCCGAGAGTCTTTAAACCTGCATAATTTATAGTCGGTCAATCGATTGAGTGATCGCAAACGATAAGGATGTAAGTGAGGCGTCGGTAGTTTGGTTATGAAAGGTAAAATATTTTATCAAAAACGATAATAATTGATAGTTTTTTAGCAAACATCTGAACCAAAGATGATATTTGCTTACATACCTGTTCTTAAGTCTTGGCGGTTGTTAAGTCTTAGCTTAGCCAGTTTGCCATGACACCAAGCCTTAATTGCCAGAAGGAAAGTCGCAGTTCCAATAAGTGCAATCACGCAACCAACGGGAGACTGCCAGTTGCTCCAGATAAGTTCGGAGTCTGAGAGTGAATCCGAGTCTACAAGAAGTTTGGCAACACTACCAACACTAGTAATTCCCTTCAGTGAGAATGAAACATCACCGACGAGCCACCAAAAGACGGAAGTCACAGCTGAACTTGCATTTGAGGCTTGCAGCACAAGAAAGGCGTAACTCAAGCGTCCTATGGTGGATAAAAACGAACTTAACCAAAAGATTAAGTCCATTCCTCGTGTGATAACTAACACCAGTCCAAGCTGCATCCAAGAATAAATCAGCATCGTTATTCGCCAGCAGAATAAACATGCCTCCGAAGCTGCCAACACAAGAAAATCCCAACCTAAGCACACTAGAGTAAATAAACTGGAAATCAACCATAAACATAAGCATATCAGGTTGTGCATTAAGACCGTTCCTTGTGTGATAACTATTTCTAGACCACGCTTCATCTGAGGATAAATAATCATCGTTATTTTCCAGAAGACAGAACTTGCCTCCGAAGCTGCCAACACAAGAAAATGATAACTCAAGCACACTATATTGAATAAACTGGAGATCAACCATGAACAAAGACAAATCAGGTTGTTCATTAAGACCGTTCCTTGTGTGATAACTATTTCTAGACCAAGCTTCATCTGAGGATAAATAATCATCGTTATTTTCCAGAAGACGGAACTTGCCTCCGAAGCTGCCAACACAAGAAAATTATAACTCAAGCGCACTACATTGAATAAACTGAAAATCAACCATGAACAAAGGCATATCAGGTTGTGCATTAAGACCGTTCCTTGTGTGATAACTATTTCTAGACCAAGCTTCATCTGAGGATAAAT